CTCTTCATTCTCAGGAGCCTGAGAGTTTGACAATCTAAAATGCTGACCAATTGGTGTTGAGACCTGCTTGGCTTTATGCATGTTAAACTTTGCCAGAACTTTCTAAGTGTATGACTTCTAAGACAAGAATAAGCTGCCCTTCTTTCTATCTCTGATAATCTCCATCCCTAAGATCTTTGTAGCGGGTCCTAGGTCCTTCATGTCAAATTCTGAGTTCTAGATACCCTTGATTTTCTGGACTTCCTCCTTGCTTCTGCTGGCTTCTGCTGGCTACTAACATGGCTACTAACATGTCATCCACGTATAGGAGTAAGTAAGTACTTATATCATCATCTTGCTTCTTCATGTAGACACAATTGTTGTATCTGCTTCTGACGAAGCCAATTCTCATCATAAAGTCATCAAATCTTTTGTACCATTGCCTTGGGCTTTGTTTCAGTCCGTACAAAGATTTCTTCAGCAAGCAGACTTTATCTTTGGTTTTAGGAGTGTTGTACTCTTCTGGCTGTTCCATGAAGATAGTTTCTTCCAACTCATGTAGAAATGCAGTTTTAACATCTAACTGCTCTAATTTCAAATTTATTTGAACCGCTGGTGCTAAAACTATCTTGATCGAGCAGTACTTTACCACAAGCAAGAAGATTTCATTGAAGTCAATTTCTTCTACTTGTGTGAACCCCTTTGCTATAAGTCTTGTTTTATACTTGACCTCCTCGCTGCTTAAAATGCATTCCTTCTTCTTGAAGGTTCACTTATAACCAACGACACGTTGGTTCTTTTGTCGATTCACAAGTTGCCATGTCTTGTTCTTCATCAGAAAAGCTATCTCTTCATCCATAGCATCAACTCACTTTTGTCTTTCCTTTCTAATCGTACTACGTTGGAGAAGCCGCCAAGTACAGTTCTTCCAATTAAGGAGTAGTCCATTCTTCCCGACTCCTTTCATGACGATGAGAGAACCTTTGACTACTTTGATGCAACAACTTTCTGCCTTGAACTAGTATCCACTTGACTCCAGCGTACCTAAAGATATCAGATTTCTTTTTAGTTTGGGAACGTACCTGACATGTTGCAATATTCGTTCGGCTCCATCAAACATCTTAATTCTGATTGTTCCGCTGCCGACCACCTTGCAAGCCTTGTTGTCCCCAAGTAATACGGACCCACCATTTGCAAGTTGTAGTGTCTCGAACCAGTCCTTGTGAGAACACATGTGGAAAGAACACCCCGAGCCGAGGATCCACTCCTTATTGGATTTTGATTCGATGATTACCAGTGCTTCAACTGAATCATAGTCATCCGAGGCTATGTTTGGTTCTCCATGATCTTTAGAATTTTCTTGAAATTTCTTCTTCCTCTCCGGACAGTTTCTCAGGAAGTGACTCTTTTATGACACTGAAAACATTTGTAAGATCCTTTCGACGATTGACTTCTGCCATTTTTTCCTTTCTTTGATCTTGATCTACTTTGACTGTTTCTTGAGCCCTTTTTCCCTGATCTTCCTCTAAGTGCTAGAAACATTGTTATTTACAATAGTATAACCATATTTTTATATTTTAAAATACTAATATTAATAATTTATTTTATATTTGATTAAAAATTTGTCCCAATGTTGACCTACTTCTTCCTTCCTAGTGCCTGCAACGTATGAACCACAAAATTCAAGGTTAGATATGTAAATGCATAAGAATTATACTGCCCGTATGTGGAGCGAGTGTTGCGCACGCAGAGCTACGTGTGCTCTCCGATCCCGTCTTGGCTAGATCTGCGGTTGGGATCAGAGAGCGCACGCAGCTCTGCGTGCGGAGATAAATTCCGTATGTGAAGGCAAAATTTTAAAAGAATTTATTTAAAATTTTAATATTAAAAACCGAAAGTTTTAAAAAATGGTAAACCTATAAAAATTATATGGACATTTATATACATGGCACACTATTCTTATGCATTTACATATATCAAACTGACATTTTCATAATAATATTACATCCAAAAGTAATATTATTACAACTTTTTAAAAGTAATATGCATCTGTTTCATGAATAGAATTAAAATATCAAAATGCTATAAAAGTTTGTAAGATATATAAATACATGAAAATTGTGTCAGGTTTGTAAAATTTTCAAAATGATATTGCTTCTAGAGGTGTAAAGGAGTCGAGTCATGCCCAGCTTGAGCTTAGCTTGTAGTGGTAGTAGCTGGCTCGTAAGTTCAAACTAAAAAATTCAATTTTTACTCTATCGCATCCGAAAATATATTGATGGCAGGAGGAGGAAGATTAGTGGTAGGCTAAACGAGCCGGCTTGCAAGTCGGAACGAATTTGAGCTCGTGGCTCAATAAGCTCAATCAGTTAGGCTAGTGAGCTCAAGAAAGAGCTGACTCGGCTCATTTACACCACTAATTGCCTCTGTACGTAAATCCCTAGTTATAATATTTCACCTGCTCGATATGCCTGCAATGAATAAATCCGCCACAGGGGAAGCCAAAGCTGGCTGGATTCACGAAGACAATTTGGTCGAGCGGCAGTTGAAACCTGGAGATGTTCTCCAGGTCCCGGCGGGATCAACCTTCTATTTCGTCAACACCCGCAAGGATCAGAAACTCCAATTCATCGCCGCCGTCGAACGGGCCGAGACAGACCTCATCGGAGGCTGGTTCTCAGCTTTCTTCATTGACGGCGGGAAGTTCCCTCCCTCCGTTTTTGCTGGTTTCGATATCAGCACCTTGACCTCTGCCTTCAATGTGAGTACTGTCGCATTTCATCAAACACCTCACGCGCATGCGGTTTTTGTTATAACCAGTCAAGTTTAGCGGATCTATACATCTTCAACGTCTGGTTTGATGTCAGGCGACGCCGGAGGAGGTAGGGTTGCTTAAATCGGTCAGCTTCGCCGGGTCGATTATATTCAACACCGGCAATGAAGCCAATCAACTCCATCAGGTCACCAGCGACATGAAGTCCGAGATGAAAAGGTTGAAGCAGAGTAGACCATTAATACAGAATAGCGACGAAAAAACAGTATCATGGACAACAATCTTGATCTCGATCTTCTTTGGAGAAACAGCGAAGGAGACGAACGAGGCCAAGCGCCGAGCAAGCGATCCAGTGGAAGCACCGGATGCATACAATGTCTACGATCGTGAGCCCGATTTCAAAAACGATTATGGATGGAGCGTCGAGATCAACGGGGACGACTACTTACCGCTCAAGCAGTCGGACATCAGCATCACTCTCCTCAGTCTCAGCACGGTAATTTTCAATTTCCAATCAAATTACGAAATCGATAGTATTAATTCTTAAAACGATCGATGGATTACTGGATGCAGGGATCAATGATGGCGCCGCACATGAATTCCCGGGCGACGGAGTACGGGGTGGTGATTGCTGGGGCGGGAACGGTGGAAGTTGTCTACCCTAACGGGACGCAGGCTATGAAGGCAGAGGTGAGAGAAGGGGATGTGTTCTGGGTGCCGCGGTTTCACCCGTTCTGTCAGGTGGCGGCGAGAGAGAATCCGATGGAGATTTTAGGGTTTACGACGTCGTGGAGGAGGAGTAGGCCGCAGTTTCTGGTGGGAAAGAGCTCGATACTAAGGAAGATGATCGGGAGCGAGCTAGCAGCGGGATTTGGGATAACGGAGGAAGAGTTGAGGAAGTTGGTGACGAAGCAGAATGAGTCGATGATTTTGCCGAGCTTGAAGGAGGCGGGAGGAAGGGGATGATGGGAAGCGATGGCGGGAAAAGGGCGAATCCTTGCTCTTTGTAGGGTTAGGTAGAATCTCGTAATTTACAGTAAGCACCCTCGAAAGTTTAATATTGCGGATTCTAAACATCTCTATGCGATTAAGTTTTGAGTTGGGTGCTTTTGGGCTTCATTTGCCAGTTTAAGGCCCCGTTTCTCTTAAACGGGCTTTTTATTTTATCAAGCACGCGAGTATGCAATCTACTCACTAACCTCATCTAAGAGTTTAAGGCTTTGAGCTTAATTTTCCTCCATGTTATGCATATAATCCTCCAAAGATAGGTCTTGGGGACTTACTTTTACTTAATCATAACATCTTTAAGGTAGAAATTCTTATTTTTAAATTAACACGTGTTCGATAAGTGCGTGTAAAAAATTAGGAATGCTTCTCACAGACGATGCCAAATAGTTACTGACTAGAGAATTCTATATCATTTGACGTTTTATCTTTGCACGGCGATCCAACACAGAAAACACAACCAATACCATAATAGCCCGAAGATCGTTAATTGCTCGAAAAAAGATTCAAATTTTAGCTCGGATTGAGATAGAATCGAAATAAACGAGCCGAGCTATCATCTAAAATTTTGGATGGAGTTTTTTTTTTAGCCAATTTTGAGCCATACAATAATTTGCTCGAACTGGCTCGAGACAACAATTATATGTATAGATAAAATTGAATATCAAGTTGGAACATACCCAAATAACTCAATTTGAGCCAATTAGCTTCACTTTTGAGCTAGATCAAGCCTATTCTGAGCTCAAACGAATCCAAATAACTCGGTTTCAGCAAGCTCGTTTGGATTTTGAGTCAAATCGAGCTCGACTCAATTTTGAGCCGGCTCAGTTCAAAATTGAATATAATGTGCGACGAGCCGATTTCAAACCACACTAAATCTATTCGACCTGATTTCAAACTAACCTCAGCTTGACTCAAAATCGAGCTCAAGATTCGATTTTTAAAAGACCTCAAGTACAACTTGCCCGTTCTCAAAATTTCTTATACAGTTTCGCCTCACAAGAGCTATTTTGACCTCTTACATTATTTTTCTTTTTAACTTTCACTCAAATTAACCACTGAATCGATGTGTTTACGCGCGCCACAATCAAACAATTGAGAATTTGATAAAAATGTGAACTATGAGCGGCGTTTTACCATAAATTTTGATATTTAAGAGATTATTTGAAAATTGGATGAAAGAAGAAGGTTGATTTGTAAATACCAAATTTAGGATTGTCCTTACAGGAAAATGACAAGTTAAAAAAATCCATACCGATCTAGATGGACAGGGGTAGGTGCCTTAATTTCCTTGCAGGTCAGCGGCCACGCAGTATCTTTTATGGGGCACGCATTAACAGCCACGTTGATGGCCGCAGGCCCACACACTTCACCAACCCTCCCCTTCCCTTGCACACCTTATCTTCAACCTTCTGCAACCACACAGAGAGACACAGAGAGAGGTGAGAGATGAAGATGGAGAGATGGGAGAAAGTAAGCGGCCGAAGGCTGGCGATCATCTGCTTCTACCTGTTGGTTTCCACAGCGACGTCGTCGGATGGGCGGGAGTGGGATATCGCCGGAGAAGGAGGTGGCGCCGGCGGCCATGAGAGGGCGGCGCCGTTCCTTCTTAAGGAAACAAGAGTGGTGTCAAAGTCGGAGGGCGGCGAGATCAGGGTGTTCAAAAGTCCCTCATGGAACGGCCGCCCGCCCCGCATACTCGTTAGCTTTGTAACCATGGAAGCAAACACACTGCTCATTCCCCATTACATGGATGCCGACCTCATCCTGTTCCTCCTAAAAGGTACGGCAAAAAATGATTTGAATTATTGGGTGGTATAAATGCAATAATCCAAATGCTCTGATATAATTCTGCTCATAACTATACGAATATTATGAATATATCAAATACTGTAGCAAACATCACATAATGTAGTAATATGGAATTCATATAACCAGCATTAACATTTTAATTCTCAATTATATGATTTATTAAAAAAATATGCATAAGTAAGAGTGTAAACGAACTGAACACGAACAAACATAACTTGTGTTTGTGTTTGGTGCGTTTGAAATTTAATTTATTTGAAATAAACTCATGTTTGAAATTCTTGGTGAAGTCACTGTTCGTGTTTATTTCTTAACAAATGAGCCGAACACAAGCTTTTCGAGAACGACGAACCATTTTGACTTTACTAATATTATTACAACTTTTAAAAATGATATACATCTGTTTTATGAATAGATTTAAAATATCAAAATGCTATAAAAGTTTGTAAGATATATAAATACATGAAAATTGTGTGAGGTTTGTAAATTTTTCAAAATTATATTGCTTCTAGGGGTGTAAACTGAGTTAAGTCGAGTAGAGTCATGCCCAGCTCAAGCTTAGCTTGTAGTGGTAGCAGCTGGCTCATGAATTTGAAATAAAAAATTCAATTTTTACTCTATTCGAGCCGGTTTGCAAGTCAGAATGAATTTGAGCTCGTGGCTCAATAAGCTCAATCAGGTAGGCTAGTGAGCTCAAGAACGAGCTGACTCGGCTCATGTACACCACTAATTGCCTCTAAACCCTTAAGTCCCTAGTTATAATATTCACCTGCTCGGTATGCCTGCAATGAATGAATCCGCCGCAGGGGAAGCCAAAGCGGGCTGGATTCACGAAGACGATTTGGTCGAGCGGCAGTTGAAACCTGGAGATGTTCTCCACGTCCCGGCGGGGTCGGCCTTCTATTTCGTCAACACCCGCAAGGATCAGAAACTCCAATTCATCGGCGCCCTCGAATCGCTTGAGTCAGACCTCATCGGCGGCTCCGCTTTCTTCATTGACGGCGGGAAGTTCCCTACCTCCGTTTTTGCTGGTTTTGATATCAGCACCTTGACCTCTGCCTTCAATGTGAGTACTGTCGCATTTCATCAAACATCTCACGCGCATGGGGTTTTTGTTGTAACCAGTCGAGTCTAGAGGAACTATACATCTTCAACGTCTGGTTTGATTTCAGGCGACGCCGGAGGAGGTAGGGGTGCTTAAATCGGCCAGCTTCGCCGGGTCGATCATATTCAACACCGACAATGAAGCCAATCACCTCCATGAGGTCATCAGCGACATGAAGTCTGAGATGAAAAGGTTGAAGCAGAGTAGACCATTAAAACAGAATAGCGGCAAAAAAACAGTATCATGGACAACAATCTTGGGCTCGATCTTCTTTGGAGAAACAGCGAAGGAGAAGAACAAGGCCAAGCGCCGAGCAAGCGATCCAGTGGAAGCACCGGATGCATACAATGTCTACGATCGTGAGCCCGATTTCAAAAACGATTATGGATGGAGCGTCGAGATCAACGGGGACGACTACTTACCGCTCAAGCAGTCGGACATCAGCATCACTCTCCTCAGTCTCAGCACGGTAATTTTCAATTTCCAATCAAATTACGAAATCGATAGTATTAATTCTTAAAACGATCGATGGATTACTGGATGCAGGGATCAATGATGGCGCCGCACATGAATTCCCGGGCGACGGAGTACGGGGTGGTGATTGCTGGGGCGGGAACGGTGGAAGTTGTCTACCCTAACGGGACGCAGGCTATGAAGGCAGAAGTGAGAGAAGGGGATGTGTTCTGGGTGCCGACGTTTTACCCGTTCTGTCAGGTGGCTTCGAGAGAGAATCCGATGGAGATTTTAGGGTTTACGACGTCGTGGAGGAGGAGTAGGCCGCAGTTTCTGGTGGGAAAGAGCTCGATACTAAGGAAGATGATCGGGAGCGAGCTAGCAGCGGGATTTGGGATAACGGAGGAAGAGTTGAGGAAGTTGGTGACGAAGCAGAATGAGTCGATGATTTTGCCGAGCTTGAAGGAGGCGGGAGGAAGGGGATGATGGGAAGCGATGGCGGGAAAAGGGTGAATCCTTGCTTTATGTAGGGTTTAGGGTTTTTTTTTTTCTTTTTAATTAGGATTTTTTACACATATAGAAGGTATAATCTCGTAATTTACACATAACACCCTCGAAAGTTTAATATTACGGATTCTAAACTCATGTTAACACCTCTTGCCATATTTGGCACTGAGGTCAGACTGCCAGAAATGCGCACACTGTCCGATCTCCACCATTCATGAGGGCAAACATGTATTTCAGTGGCCATTATTTTTATTTTTTATTTTTAAATAATGATGGACGGTGGAGATCAGACAGCGGATGCATGTATGGAATAATTTTTCGTTAACGAGAGTATATAATTCGTAATGTCAAACTTTTGTGGGTGAGAAATGTAAATAAGGAGGTTTTATGTGCTATTTATGTAAAAATCCCTTTTGTTTTATCGTTTTGGCCGTGTAGGCGAATAAAATTATTCTATGAATTTGAGAGCAATGTTATTAGCTACAATCTTTTATGTTTTGCGGCATTTACATACATTATTAATGTTTAAAAGGTGAAATACATGAAATACCACACAATTCTTATGTTTTTAAATACCTAGCACACAGACTTATTGTTACCTATGTAAACATGTAAAATTTGTATGATATTAAATATGTTCACGATGAGTTCTGCGGCGATAGCAAAATCAACTTGGATCTGCTCCGAGAGCGCCACAACGTGTTCTTCTCGAGAGATCATCCGGGGCATCTTGTCTTCCGGCTCCTTATCCTTGGCTATCAATCAGCGATAGTTTGCTCGTACTTCTGAGCCCTTGCATCCCATGCGTGAGTCGACTTCTTGAACTTCTTCTATAGGCGCATAAGCTCCAACTCGACATTCCTCTTACTCTCTGATACCTCAGCCATCATTTGTTTGAAAACTTTCATCTTCTTTTCCTCTTGAACCAAGGCTTTCCTTTTGGTAGTGAGAGACGGACAGGGCAAGAGCACTGCACTGATCGGGTGTCTCGCTCAGTTTGGTGTAACTCTTACCCACCAGAGTGGAGTTCAGGCCGTCGAACTGCATAACTTCCACTAGGTAGCTCGGAAGATCAGGCTCCTCCCTAGGGTGAAGACCAGTGAAACAAGTCTCTCTGGGTGTTCATTATTATATATTGTCCTCCGAAACTTCCAGACACATTACTCTGATCATCCATCCAACCTAATTGTCAACCTGATTATTATTTGAATGGGATTTCCCCATCATACGATGCTTCTTTAGTAGGAAACCTCCATCTGCTATCAAGGATCCCCTGCAGGACGGTCATTGTGTGAATCTGATGATCCTATTTCAACCACCGACTCGATAGCTTTCTACTCGGGCATGATGCGTTTGTCGGGCCATCAACCTTAAATGATGTTTTGGCCCTCTTCTACATAGCCTGAAACACCAAAGCACAAGGCTTTTCATTAATGGATTTAGAAGGTTGTCCGCCCTCCATATGTTGACACTACTGACAAGAGAAAAGATCCGCACAAAAAGAATGCTAGAAAAACCCGATTTTGTTTTCTCTATGTATAATGGCCATGGCTCAGAAACCAAGAAAATATTAATTATTGCGCATTGAATAAGTCTTAAATACCACAAATTTATGTTAAAAATTTATATTCCATTGCCCTCATCATAGTTATAGCTATCAAAAAGAAAAGAAGAATTAGAGAACTTTAATATGTATATTTAAAATGTGTATGCACGATTCTCAAAGATATCTCACGGGCTGAGGAAGAAGTGATGTGGCATCGCAATTCTCTCTAAAGGCAATCTAGGAACGCACACCTAGTCGGCTGGCTCTCACGTACCAGGAGAATTATACCTCTCAGGTAGATAAGAGTATATCAACTCCTAAAGAATTTATCTAACCAAACTCTTGCAGAAGAATCCAACAAAGCTGTCTCGCCTAACAACCGCCCGATCTGATAGCTACTCGACCTAGTGGCCGCCCAGCCTAACGGTCACCCGGATCTTTCCGACCGGATGTCCGTAAGCCCCCTGTGCCATATGTATAACTTAAAATACCCTTGTCATACCAATGTACACTAGGAGTACAATACGTAATTGTACAATCCCTCATTTCTATAAATAATAGATCTATTTCATGAAAATAAGTCCATTTCATGAAAAACTAATACTTAAATTTACCGTTCAATATTGTGCTATTGCTCTCTCCTCTGAGCACTCAATTCTTTAATCACAATGTAAAATAGAAATGTATTTATAATTCATTAATAATTTATTTTCAATATATTTGGAATTCAATGAATTTGGGGGAATTCAAATGGACAACTTCATATAAAGCTTGCCAGTCACCGCCACCCTCCACCATCTATTGTCACCTGTCGTTTGACACCATTCGTTGTTTGTCGCCTGCAACGTTCATTTCCCGTTGCCATCGCCTTCCGCTTGCCGCAGTTTATTTGTCCACCACCAACTAGCTTTCACCGCTGTAGGTTGCCTACTATCAACCGTCAATTGTCGTTGGCGCTCTTCCACCTATTATCAACCATGCAATTTACATTGTTTTCATTTAATTTCAAATCAAGCAAGAAAATATGATGTCCTTTATTTATTTTACATTAAACCAAATAACTCCAAAAATATTTCATATTCAATGCATTATTTTTACATTGCATTACTCTTTCAACAAATCAAAAAACCCTTTCATGGAATGTAAAGAAAATATTTTTTTCTTTATGGGGAGTTGCTAACTTTCTTAACGAGAGAATGATGATTTTTAGTAAAAGAATGGATTAGTTTGCTGCGTGCTAGAAAATTTACGATTTAATTTTGCACGAATCTGGGCATCCATGAATAAAATTGAAGAATATAAGAAACCAATTTTTCATATAATGATCTAGAAAAAAAAACATGGCCAAATCTAAATGAATCGATAGGTTGTATAAACAAATATATAAGTTTCCATCAAATAAATATCAACACTGATCTTATAGAAATCTAGTGATCGAGAAGAGAAGAATATAGTGGAAAAACGCTTGTAAATAATTCATGTGACTCATCAAATCAGACCAACCAAATCATGAAAAATCGAATAAGCCAGACCAAGGCCTTCCGAGCCAAGAAGATGACAGGAAAACGACTGAGTGGTCCTGGCAACGTTTGTCTAACAGGGCGAAGGTCAAGAGGACAACCAGGCCACCGACCCAATGTAATAGCCTACTCTGGAGTAGAACCAACCCAATGGTAGAATCTTTGCCATGAAGCCTCTCACATTATCCCTTAGAAGCCAAGAGGCTCCTCATCAAGGGCCAAAGGTAGCTAACCAGGTAGGCTTAGCTGACCGAACCCCGCTCAGTCAAGTCCAACAGACCGAACTAATTCAGTCAAGCCACACTAGTTAAACTTGGCCAGCCAAGCCAGAAGCAGACCAAACTATAGATCGCCTTTTGTAAAATAACTAAAACATCCCAACATAGATCCTCTCTAAGTGGGGACAAAAATATAAAATCAACATTGTACTAGATCCTCTATGAATAGAACAAGCTTCTAATGAAGAAATAAAACAATTTTGTTGTTCATCATCTCTCTCTTCTTATATATGCTCTATTTTTTTAGTGTGATTCACACATAAATTCATATTCACAACGTGAAGAAAGGCTTAGATATCTTAATAACAATGATTCTTACATTTAGAGGAGGCAAAGGAAAATATTTTTAGGGTCCAATAGCTTCCTTTCTTCCTATGTTCTTTTCATTTTCTTCCCTTTGGCTTTATTTGCAAATAAAATTATTATTTTTTAATCTTTAATTTTTGAGATCAATAATTCATTTAATAATTTAGTGTTCAATTATTTTACTTGTAAATATTATTACTATATTAGAAATTGGAAATCAATATATTAAGAAAGTATATAATTTAATAAGCATTATGTTGATGCGTCCTTGATTGAAATTGTTCCATCTTCATAATTTTGTATATGCATGTAGGGAGTTAAATCATTATTTGCAATGTGCTGGAAAATATGTTGAAACATTAGAGAGAGAAAAAAAAGATAGACATCCTGAAAATAAAAATAAAAAAACCCATTTCTCCCTTCACTTTTTTTTTTTTTTTTTTTTTTTTTTTTTTGCACAAGGGAGAGAGATAATAAAATAACCAAAAAAAAATGAAGACATTTTGTATGATACGACATTCTTCTACAACGCCAGAATGAAAAGACTACGAGTCTATTTGGGGCAGTTGCAGATTATTAAAAGTTGTTGATCAATAGGGGCACGGGAGTAATAGTGAATCGAAGGAAACAACGAATGAAGGGACGGGTTCACGGCTCAAATTATCTGGCGTGTTTAATAAATTGTGCCCACACCTCCCTAATCAAACATCCATAATCGTAACACCCCACCACATTGCAGCCCCACCGTTGCACAAAACAGACCCTATGACGTGGAGCAAGCGGAGCTGATACAACAAACATCCTAATTTCTAAATGAAAAAACCAAGACATGAATGTTGGGTGACACTTTTAAAGAATGATTGGCAGAAGTCTTTGCTAGTCATGATAATCTTCTTTAGTAGTCTTGCCTCCATAGGTAGGCGAGGCCGTGTTGGGTAATGTGGAGACCTAGTTCACCGAATTTAATTAGTTTCCTAATTAAGAATCTCACCTACCGCTCACATACTTTCCCACCTACCACTTACCTACCACACCTATCTACCGCTCACCTACCTCTCACCTACCACTCTCATAGCTGCTATAAATAGCATCTTATGGCTTGTCATAAGCCAAAGCCACAAGCCAAACAAGGTCAAGTCAAGTCCTCTTGAGAGCTAAGAGAAAGAGAAAAAGAGAGAGAAAGAGAGAGGAATGGTAGAGATTTTCTTGTAAACGTCGAGACACTCAACAGTGTAATTCCTCGAAAAAATAAAATCCTCTGCAGCTCCGTAGACGTAGGCAAATTTGTCGAACCACGTAAATCTGTGTGTCGCTTTAGTGTTTTTATGTGTGCAATTTTACTCGTTCAATTTTTCGCTTTATTGCCGTCATTTTTCACAACAACTAGTATCAAAGCTTTGGTTAGAATCTACGGAATAACGATGGGCGGAAACAAAGTGATGACATCGGTGATCAAAAAGTTCAATGGTATAGATTTTGCTTAATAGAGGATGCAGATAGAAGACTATCTCTATGGGAAGAAAGTTCATCTTTCTTTATTGGGAAAGCGACCAGAAAAATGGACGAGGCGGAATGAAATATGTTGGATCGACAGGTTTTAGGGGTTATTCGATTAACCCTATCGAAATCGGTTGCCCACAACGTCATCAAAGAGATGACTACTGCAGATCTCATTGTGACTTTATCAGGTATGTATGAAAAGTCATCGACGAATAACAAAGTGCATCTGATGAAAAAATTATTCAACTTGAAGATAGCGGAAGGTGTCTGTTGCTTAACATCTAAATGATTTCAATACTATCACAGATCAATTGTCGTCCGTTTAAATTGGTTTTGAAGATGAGATACGTGCGCTGATATTATATTGTTGAGTTGACTTCATTGTCAAATAGCTGGGAAGCCATGAGGATGACAGTTAGTAGTTCTACAGGTAAATCTAAGCTGAAATATGATGATATTCGTGATTTGATTTTGGCTGAGGAGGTGTGCAGGAAGGATTCTGGCGAGATTCGTGTTCAAGTTCGGCGCTGAAACAAAGGTATGTGGCAAGGTTGGCTACATAGGAAGATCAAAATCAAAGTCTGATCAGCAGACAACCAGTTGGAATTAACTACATAAAAAGACACTACAGGAATCATAAGAAGAAGAAGAATGATGACGTTAATGTTATATCTGAAAAAATACAGGATGCACTATTGCTGACAGTTCACAGTTCTGTTGATGACTGGATACTGGATTCATGGGCTTCCTTCCATACACCTTCCCGTCGCGAGTTAATGCAAAATTATGTTGCAGGTAACTTTGAGAATGTATATCTAGCTAATGGAAAAACTCTGGATGTGGTGGGAATGAGAGACGTTTATATTGCACTCCCTAATAAGAGCAAATAGACTTTGCAAATGGTCAGACATGTTTCCGAGTTGAAGAAAAACCACATCTCTGTTAGGCAGCTCAATGAGGGTGGTTAATCGGTAGTGTTCTCATATTGCACCTGGACGGTTACCAAAGGAGCATTAGTACTGGCTCAGGGTAAGAAAACTGACACATTATATATGATTACAGGTTTACTAGGGCGATGACACATGAGTCAGAGATGCATTATGGGGAAGCAGAAGAATGTCAGTTTCCTGAAAAGTGGCAGAGCGCCAAAGATTAGAAAATCAGACATTCTACAGACAAATGGTGGAGAAACACATAGTTATGAAGAAATCTTGCAAGATGAGAATTCGAGCAAGTGAGAGCTGACCAAGGAGGAGGAGACGAAAATCAGACTTGGGAGCTAATAGAACTTCCACCAAGAAAGAAGGCATTGCACAACAAGTGGGTATAACAGGTGAAGACTGTGTTTGGTGGCAGTAAGAGGTACAAGACTGGACTTGTTGAAAGGGGCTTTCAGCAGGGGCAAGATATTGCTCATGTAGTGGGAGTTATAAGCAGATACAAGAGTAACCCAGGAAAGAGCTTGGTGGTACAAGACTACGTTGGCGGTGATATGTCAACTGAGGGTGTTACTCGTGAGAAGTTGAAGTTGTGTTCGACTTCAGCTAGTCTTCTGACATGAAGATAGGGGCTTTGAGTTGCAGAGGTGGAGGATATCATGTTTGAGGAAAAAGTCGGTACAACCAGCAGATGATGCAGCCTGTAGGTGATGCAGTTAGTATCCCAGTCTCCAAGTGGGAGAATTGTTGGGTAATGTGGAGACCCGGTCTACTGAATTTAATTAACTTCCTAATTAATACGGTATGATTCCTCGAAGAAATAAAATCCTGTGCATTTCTGTGGACGTAGGCAAATTTATCGAACTACGTAAATCTGTGTATCGTTCTGGTATTTTTCTGCATGCAATTTTACAAGTTCTATTTCTCGCTTTATTGTCATCGTTTTTCACAACAGACCGTCTTTTCATGTTTAATGAATTCAAGCATTTCAAAAGGTAGACTCCATTCAGCCACCTTGTTAGGTGGGCGCTATTGAACCATTTTGACAAGTGAGCTCTATTAATCCACTCAACAGATGCCACAATTCAAACTCTTCCATAGATGGCTGTATTCAAAGAATAAGTAAAAATTCTTTACAGTTGTATCTGTGTGGGTATGTATTGATTTTATTTTATCTATTAAAGATGAAAGTGATAATTTTTTTTATATGATATAAAAAACTTGTGTTGTCTGAATATACAAGAAAATATTAAGGTATTAGATATGTAAATACTTAAAAGTTAAGTGGTATGCATCTAAATGCTCTTTTATTTTTTAAAGAAAAGCTTGTTTAAGTAATATTAAAAAAAATTTGGGAGTAAATGGGAGGAGATAAAGCTGTCAAGGAAAATATAGAACTGAAGACGAAAAATTGCTCACCAATATTGAAAAAAAAAAAAGGCAATATGTCTGTTAGTTTATTTTTGATAAATACCTACTTCAAAAATTTCGCCGGGATAAGTCCTTTTCCCTGCCATCGCAGCTCCCCACGTAATGCGCTTGCCGCTGCATGTTGCCGCGTTCAGCACCTGCTGATCAAGAAAAAGATAACAGTTTTTGTCTGTTAGTTCGTCGCCTCAATCTCACGCATTAATTAATATTTAATTAGATTATCACGTCTTAGAAAAAAAACTTTTTTTTTTCCTTTAGTTCGTCGTATCTCCCCTTTGCTGCCCGTTTTTTTAAGAAGTCTCAAGAAAAATACCGCTAAGAGTTTATTCCTTAGTAGTTTATAGTGCGGGCGGCATTTTTAAAACGCCGCCGTACCGTTTGGTTCGCGCGTTTCACCAGCTTATCTGAAATTGCGTTTGAGTTTTTACCCTAAACGCAGGCCGCGGGTCGACTTTTGCGGCCAAAAAAATACCGCTAAAGGCCTATTTGAGGTAGCTTATAAGTGCGGGCGGCATTTTCAAAACGCCGCCGTACCGTTTGGTTCGCGCGTTTCACCAGCTTATCCGCGCGTTTCACCAGCTTATCCAGCTTATCCGAAATTGCGTTTGAATTTTTACACTAAACGCAGGCCGCAGGTCGACTTTTGCGGCCGGCCCGCGGGCCGCGTATAAGCAGTTTATCCTGAAACGCTCAAACTGCCCCAAACGGACCCTAAGTTAGGATCTATTTGGGGCAGTTTATGAGTTTCAGGATAAACAGTTTATCCTGAAATGCGGCCCGCAGGTCGACTCGCAATCTGCATTTAGAGTAAAAGACTCAAACCCGACATACAACATTTTAAAAAACGCGCAAACCAAATGGTCAGACGGCGTTTTTAAAAACACCGCCGTACTTATAAGCTGCCCCAAACGGGCCCTTAAACATTGCCGAGATCAGAATGCTTATGTGATCGAGTGGCTTTACATATAGAGAAAATGTAAAATTAATATATCCGTGATTTAGTTACATTAAACTTCAACAATTAGATGGTCGGATTGGGAGAATAGATGTTTTTAAATTCGACTTATGTTAAGAAAGATAGAGGTAGACCTAAAAAGATTTGGGAGGCATATTGCATAAAAAAATAATCTAAATTTATTAGCTTAGTGGGATAAAAGTTTATTGTTTTTGTTGTTATTTAATGCAAATTAAAGGTTCAGTTTTAAACATGCAAATTACAAAAATATTAAGAGAGGACATTTTTACGTGAAGGAAAAAGAATGCCAAAGCATGCTTTTGGATAATCTGGTTTCGGTTTCGGATCCTCTGATAGCAATTCTAGCCAACCAATCTATATATTAGACGGTCATGATCCTCTGTCATGCAACAACTATTGCGTAATAAAAAAGAATAAACCTCACAAGAGCCTAAAAAGAGTACAACTATAAGCCCTAAAATTTACAAAAATTCATATTGAATGCATAAATTTTCAAATTTACATCCATAATGTTAACATCTTTATCATCACATTAAAATAATAGTACATAAAAAATGTGCTAGCACAGATCCTGATGGGATCCAACAATGCAAGGAGTATAGTGAAGGTTGGCCCACCACTGAGAGATAGAGAGGTTCACTTGATGGACCGAGCGAAGTCATATAAATTGAGACAACATGACCAATACCGACTGAGCTACTATTAGACAAGAAGACGACCGGGAAGATCCTAACATGGGGCAAAAATATCAACATTGCACCCCCCTCTATAAATAGAGGAATCATTTTATAAATAAGATATGATGTATTAGTGCTTCTTACTATTCACTCTTGTCTTTTCTAGCTCTCTTTCCTCAAGTGTGATTCATGAACAAATCAGAATTCAACAATATCGTTCTTATTAACTACGATACATAGATTTGTAACACCCAAATGTTATTAATGTAAATATAAATTTCTACGGGTTCGATCTGATATATACGAAAATTTTGATGTATGAATGTATGTTTCCCATTTTTTTGAAACCCTCATAATGATAAATATATAAATCTGTAAGCTACTTTCAGTTTCTATATTATTTTCCTTTAATTTTAACTCCAATTATTATTTCTTCTTTCCACCATGCCCTAACTTAAATGAATTGAAATATTCATGTGAAGTAAAATCTCTTTAAACTGTCCTGCAATACAGTAAAATTGAATTTAATAAAGGGCCATTTACATAGATAACCCCTAATTCCTATGTATTTACATATCAACGCCTAAATTCAACATTTTATATTTATACCACTAAAGTTTTTTGCATCATCATTTTAAAAGTGCAAACATGTATGTTATGTATAAAAATTGAATTTTTAATATTAGAAATACAATTATACAAGAGTGGAGCGATATAAAAGAAAAAAAAAGAACCCATATATTGGTCAGGGGTAGGTACCTTAATTCGTTGCGGCTCACTTGCAAGTTGTTGGAACAGATAATGCTCCACCCCGCCACCGCAGGTTGCCACATAACCTCATTCACCTGCATGTAACACACGTGCCTTCGCCACATTCATCACCTTCCGCTTCTTAAACCCCAGCCCTTCATGCTGCCCATCACATTAAACCTGCCTCATTCGAGAAAGCGAAACAGAGAGAGAAAGATGGAGAAATGGAAGCAAGGAAGTGGCCTACTGGCGGCGATCTTCTTCTCGCTGTTAATGGCGGCGGCCGCGGCGGAGAATAGGGGGGAGTGGAACGTTCCCGGCGGCCATGATTGGTCGCAGTTCCTTTTGAAGAAGTCTGAGGTGGTGACGAAGACGGAGGCTGGGGAGATTAGGGTTTTCAGAGGCCACACATGGAATGGCCATCCGCCCCGCCTGCATATTGGCTTCGTTACCTTGGAGCCCAGCTCACAGCTCATTCCCGTTTACTTAGATGCAGATCTCATCCTCTTCGTTCGAAGAGGTATTCATACAAAAAATAAGTTCTTGAACTTTTATTATTTTAGAATTGAGCTTACCTCGATCTGCTTGTGATAAATGAATTGATGGCAGGGGAAGTGAAGATCGGTTGGATTCACGAAGACGAGTTGGTCGAGCGCCAATTAAAAGCTGGAGCGGTTCTCCGCATCCCTGCAGGATCCATCTTCTACTACGTCAACAACAACGAACATCAACTCCAAATCATCGCCGGCATCGAACCAGTCGGCACAGATCTTATCGACGACTTGTTCACGCCTTTCTACGTCGGCGGTGGGGAGTTGCCCCCCTCCGCTTTAGCTGGGTTCGATTTAAGCACACTGACCACTGCCTTCAATGTGAGTACTGTCGCATTTCGCCGAACAGCTAATAAGCATGTGGTTTCTTGTTTGAATTAAGTTGATTCCAGTGTGGATTTTTACATATTGATCATCTGGATTTGATGCTAGGCAACACCAGAGGAAGTGCGTGCGCTTACAGCCGCCCGCTTCGGCGGGTCGATCATAAACATCATCAGTGAGGATGATGATAACCACCTACAGAGGTTTGCCGGTGCCATGAATTCGGCAATGGGAAAGCTTAAACAGGGTAGAAAATTAACGCAGAATGATGAAGTGAAAACCAAAGAAAGTACGAAAGAAGCGTGTACATGGTCAAGCATCTTTAGCTCGTTCTTCTTTGGAGAAACAGCAACGGAGAACAACAAAATCCAGCTCCGAGGCGACGATCCAGTGGAAGCACCGGATGCATACAATATCTACGACCACGATCCAAATTTCAAGAACGATTACGGATATACCGTTGAGGTGAACGAGCACGATTACTCACCTCTCAAGCATTCGGACATCAGCGTCTACCTCGTCAACATCAGCGCGGTAAAGTTCACCACCCAATCAAATCGCTTAATCAATCTGATCAACAATCGATTAATTATTGAATCGCTTGATGCAGGGATCGATATTGGCGCCGCACGTGAACCCTCGGGCGACGGAATACGGGATTGTGATCGCAGGATCGGGGACGGTGGAAATCGTAAACCCTAACGGAACGAAGGCGTTGAAGGCGGAAGTGACGGTAGGGGATGTTTTCTGGGTGCCGAGGTTTTACCCGTTCGCTTACGTGGCGGGGAGAGAGGGACCTCTGGTGATTCTAGGGTTTACGACATCGTCGAGGAAGAATAGGGCGCAGTTTCTGGCGGGGAAGGGTTCGACGTTGAGCCTTCTGATCGGGAAGGAGCTGGCGGCGGGATTTGGGGTGACGGAGGAGGAGTTGAAGCAGCTGGTGCACAAGCAGGTGGAGTCGGTGATATTGCCGAGCTGGGAGTAGAAGTGAAGAGTGGAAATGGAGGTAAAAGGGTGAGGCCGTCCTTTTATAGAGTGCATTTAGGGTTTTTCCGAGTCAGGATTTTGCTTTTTGGGGAAGAAAACAAATTATGTACTGTGTAGTTGTCTTTATGTCAATAAAAAGAGCGCTTCAACCCTAAAAGACGGCTTTTTTTTATATTGAATCATTATTTCAAAAAAAAAATTGAATTAATCATAATTAAGTTAAAAATTAAATTATTTATTAATTTATATTTTGTGTTAAAGTTTACTAATAATTTTATTTGTAGAATTTAAAAAAAAAATCCCAGGCTCGATTCATTTATATTTCGAGCTCAAAAATTGTGATCGTGTAAGTATCGTTTGCGCAGTGAGTCAAACACGAACAAAACAAAGTCGTTTTGATAACCCTAATCAAGTAGTCATAAGATATTAAGGATTGGAAGTAAGATTTAAAAAACATTGTTTATATTAAAACATCATTTGAATCTAACATAATAATTTTTTATTCTATATATATATATATATATGATTAGTAGCATTTCGAGCCTAACATGAACGAACTAATCTTTTTCGTGTTGTTCGTGTTCGGCTCGTTAACTTAGCAAATGAGCCGAACACGCTTCTTAGCAAGTCTAACACGAGCTGTTCGCGAACAACGAGCCGTTTTGACAGCCCTAGATACTATTGATAAAAAATCGACCATACAGTTCGACCATCATTTAAATATACATTGCATATATATATTTTTTGAGTATTTTTTAATTTGAAAGAAATATTATTAATTTTATTTATTTTTTTAGCTAAGAGAGTGCATGTATTTTTTGCTAAAACGAATTTGAGCTAATGAATTTTGCATACTTTTCGTTGAAGTTATAATTTTATAGACTTATAATTCTAATGTGATAAATTAAGCTAATTAATATATTGATTAATTAACTATAAATAAATGTAAATTAAACTCAATAATACAACTTTAAAAATTTAAGTAACTTTTCTCTGTTTCTTTTTGTCATTATATATATATATATATAGACCTGTTTGCCTGAATGTAAAAAAGAAAGTCAATTATTTTATATAATCGCTTTTATCAATGTACCATAACTTGCACATTGAGCTTGTTTTGGATGAATTCCCAATAGGGCCGTCAAATTCGCATGTAGGTTCGCCAACAGTTTTGTGTTCAACTCGTTTAAGTAGTTCGTGTTCGGCTCTTTAAGCTTAAAGAACGAGCCAAACATAATTAATTTTTTTTAAGCACGAAATTTAAACAATTTGATATAAGAGTTTTGTTGTGAACTGTGATTCAACTATTGTGATATGATATACGTGTTTTTGGGAGTGAAATCCCGCCTATTGTGTTGTGAATTGTGATTCAGCTACCAAAACATTACTTGTTCAATATTGAGTTTTATTTTTTTTGCATAATGGGGTCGAACTTTTGAGATATGCGTGTGGGCAGGTGAAGACGTTATGATGAGACATTTTAATTGTTCAGTTGGGAGTTATAATTTTTATGCACAAGATCCAACTTTTTTTTATGAAATTTGACCGTACTAAATGAACACCTCAATTATCATACACCTAATCTATTCTTGCCACTTGATATTGCACCTTCTTAGCTCATTCTAGTCTGAAATTATGTGGTTTCATGTACTGAATGGGATGTCCCTTGTTCTAAAATAGCAATTACCTTTTTTTTATTTATTTATTTAGTGAGCTTACTAAGTATAAGAATGTTTTTGAAATTGTGGGAAAACATGCTATTTGTGAAATCAAGTATTTTTAATACATGAAAGTACTCGAATACTCGAATGCAGTGAAATTGTAGGTGAAATTGTAGTTTTTTTTTTTTAAATGTCATTATGTTGGACTGAAATATAATGTATAGAGTTCTAACACAATTTCAGAATATTACGGTTCATGAAAATTATGAAACATGCCCCAATTCATTATATGCTTATTTGTAGTTCATAGGGTGGATGATTATATGCAAACAACATCAAGAATGTAATTATGATGCTATGTTTTTTTTGTGAATTGAGCATTTCATTGTATCTAAGGACATGTCATTTTCATGATTTCTATTTGACTATGTAGGAACAAAGCTTTTGCATTAGTTAACTTAATTAACAAATATGTGTGTCTTTGATTTTAAACTCATCATTTCTTAATCACTGTGGCCAAATCCATTTCACATGAGTGTATTGCTAAATTGTCCCTTTTATCCCAATTTCATTTTAATTTGATTGGGTGCCAAATGGGTGTGTCATTTAGTGGTTTGTGGCAGCTGTGATTGAAAGTTTAACATTTAGTATTCATGAGGTTCAGACTTGTTTAATATGCAGAGAATTATTTAATTGATCAAGTTATTTGATATGTTATATTCATAAATTTATCAATGCTTTGATCAACTATAAATAAAACTCCCATCAATAAATTCTTGATCTATGTAGTAAACAAGTTACTAGAAATGCTTTGGTCAACCAGTTGTCAGACACAAGATCTAATCTTGTGTTATATCAAAAGTATAATTGGCTTTATTTTAAAGTGCTTCTCTTTCCCCCCTTTTGATTTCATGTAGTGGGCAAACATGATTGCATCAGATCTTTCACAATCTGAATCATTTTGCAATGAGTTGTTAGTAGAAGTTCAGAAAATTAATGAAAATGTGAATCTTAATTCACAAAATACAAAATAAGTAGTGTCTAAAGTTTTGTCAGAAGTAGTGATTGCTAATATCAATGAAGAAGTCTTCGTTAAGGAAGGTAGAAGAAGTTAACAGTTTAAGAGTACTTTGTGAATGAAACATTTCCTATTAAGGGTTCCCAACTCCTTTCTAGAAATGCATATATTATCAAATAAAATTTCATAAATCTAAAATGAGAACTACTTCTCAACTTCTACTGCATGTGAGAGAATGTAGACAAATAAAAACAAAATAAGCAAGCAACTGATTTTTTCTTAAAAAAACAAAAATTGTTAATTTTTATGTCACTTGATGTTGATGATGATGTTAAGATCCTAATGTTTCACGATCCAAAGAGTCGTGATCAACAAAAGGTTAAAGATGTAATTTCTTAAATAATTATAGTGCATGAGTAGCCATTTAATGTTGTTGAGCATACATGGTTTAACATTTTATTAAAAGTATTAAATCCAAATTATGAGAAAGTTTCAAGAAACACAATAAAAAATAATTGTATGAAGATTTATGAGTTTGAAAAAGAAAGGTTGAAAAAAAATTTAAGGATGTACACAAGCGTTCATTAACTTCTTATTGTGGGACTTTCAATTAAACAATTGGATACATGTGTTTAACTGTTCATTATAGTGATCAATCTTAGAAGATTCAGATTTGAATCATGAATTTCATTAAATTTGAGCCATCTTATATCGATACATTCGTTTGTGATGTTTTATGTGATTGTTTTTTAGATTAGAATATACAAAACAATGTATCTACTACCACTTTAGATAATACTAGTAATAATGATGTTGTTGTTAGCTTACTTAAATCAAATTTTATGACAAGATGAAAATTGCATTTTAAGGAGTATTTCTTCCTTATTCGTTGTTGTGCTCATACATGAAATATTATGGTGCAAGTTAGTTTGAAAGAAATTCATGACATCATTCATAATATTAGAGTATGCCAAATATTTCAAGAAGTCACCAGCGAGGTAGAATAAGTTTGTTGAGATATAAGTAATTGTGGATAAAAATAATAAAGGATTTAAGCATTGATGTACCTATAAGGTGGAACTCGACATACTTAATGCTTGAATCTGCCCTTGTTTATTGAAAAGGTGTTCAATCACAATGCATATGGAAATAACATTTTCAATTGGTTGACACCAGATTTAGATTCTAAGCATATGAGAACATCAAAATATTTATTGTTGTTTTTAATCATGTGACAAAAATGATGTTTCATTCTTCCTACTTTATCTCAAGCATTTTTTATCTACTGTTATGCATATCAAGAAACTGTTGTTGGATGAGTTGACTTCTCTTGATTGCTATAACATGAACATGACTACGACCATGAGAAATAAATTTTAAAAATATTGGGGTGAGTGCAATCTACTAATGTCTGCTGCAGTTGTTTTGAACCCTCAATTGAAAATGATGTTTATATAGTTTACCTTTGTCAAGATATACACATTCCTTGAATCACACTAAAAAATTCAACATGTTAAGATGTTATGTGAGAACTCTATAATAATTATTCAAGCGATATTGCTAGCACTAGTTCTACAAGTGGTAATATAATAGATTTTGTTGTTTCATCTGGTTCAATTCAATCTTCAAAATCAAATTTACAACTCTATCTTGAGGAGGGTCTATTTTTGGCTACTAATGAATAATTTGATATTCTTGAGTGGCGGAAGTTGAATACTCTCAAGTGTTCTTACTTATCCAAAATAACTAAGGATATATTGTCAGTTCAAATAACAACGGTTGCTTCAAAATTTGTATTTAGTACTGGTGGAAGAGCTCTTAATGATTATAGAAGTTACTTTTTATAAAGACGTTGAATGCACTATTATGCTCATCTATTTGGATTAGATCTTTCACAAGTAGTTCGAAAATTTCCTTAGTAATTTCTCTGAAGAATGAGTTCTTAGATTATGTTTACTTATTCTTCTTATTACTAATATTTATGTATCTTTCATATCAACAATAATTATTAGAAGAGGAACATCATGAAGTTAATTTTCTTGAGTAAATAGAAGGAATGTTCAAAAATTGAAGAAGTGATTTCATTTATATTTTTCATTGCATTCACTTTATTTTAATATTGGACAAATATTTTTCAATGGTTGGTTTGTTCTGTCATTTGTGTTGTACTTAATAATTACTTATTTGTTTGGAGAAATGATTTCATTTCTAAGTTAAGCCATTTGAATACTTTTAGGCTAAAGAAAAAAAAAACTTGTTTTATGCTTCATAATGGTGTTGATTTCTTTATGAGGGTGGCTATGGAGATTTGCTAAGAAACAATTTAGGAAATATAATTACGAAATATTTTTCTCTCATTATGTGTTTAATTCTTCTGTTGCTTCAAACCGATTCGGTTGTTGGTAGATTATTACACTGGCAAATTTGATGCTAGTTGATGAATTGGA